TTAAAAGACCTTTTATTATAGACATTTTTAAACATATAAAATTTTTAAACATATAAAAATGAGAAGAGAATTCTATGATGTACCCCAGGTATCTGGCAGCCAGCTTCAGTCATTATTGACATTTTGCTAATCTCATTTCATTTGTCTTCCCCCAACTTTCTTGGGAGGTTGGAATAGTTTGTAAAAGGGAATCCCGGACATGTAATGTCACCCAGAATGCCTTGTATTTTTTTAATCCCAGTCACTGTGGCATTAACAATAATCCCTTGCTATACTCCAACACCTGTCCACATCTCCTGTGAGCCCAGAGAGACCTAGGGGTGTGACTAGTTCAGATTCCGTTCCTGGGTCTGTGCATGTCATAGTGGTGCCCTGTGTTCCAGCTGTGTGAGTCCCATCAGAAGGCATGTAACGTGCAGTTTTCCCTTTTGGTTGCTCAGGATGTAGTTACTTTCTCCTGTTTGAATAGACCTGTGATTTGCAAAAACTAGCCTGGGGGTGGGACCTCCCAGAGGTCCTCTAAGTCAGCAGCACTGTGGAGAGCAGGTGGGGACACGCCCAGTGTTACAGGGGTGCACCCAGGGTGTTAACACAGTTTCCAGGTCCTCAGCTTCTGGTTTGTCCTTCACTGAGCTGCTTGGCCTGCAATGCCCTGACAGCTGGGGCTCCTTTCCCAGGCTCCCTGGCTCAGCCTCCCTTTCCCATTTCACAGGAGAAAGACGGGCTCTCACCTTAGTTCCTTGCCTCTGGGGAGCACAGTCTCCACGCGTAAACAGAGGGACCCTGTGTGGTGGTGGTGGTGTGGAGAGAGTGGAGGATGCTAACCGCTGATCACTGGGCACAAATCGTTGAGCAGTTCAGCTGCTGTCCTGCCCTTCGATGTGAATCTAATCAAATCATTAGCACAGAGATCCTTAAAAGTAATTTTCCATGATGGACCACAATGAGATTTGGGGCCTGTAACTTGGAAAGAGTTCACAGAACAAAATGACAATATTATAATAAAATATCTACTTTCCAGTGTCTTGTGTTAAAAAAAAAAAAAAAAAAAAAAAAAA